AGTAAAACTCTGAATACAGTTCAAAATATTTTTCCTTAGCACCAATATACTGTATATATAGCACTGAAAATGCAGTAATTACTTTCTTCTTTTTATTGTAAAATGGTTGTCAGCTCAAATTAGGGAAACATTTAAAATTACTAAAATATGCAAGTTTGACCTTATTAAAACAATTTCTCTTCACAATAAATCACATAAATTGAACTTTGAGTGTTTAACTCGTGGGCGGCAGTACCAGGATTTATCCCAAACATTTTGTGCCAAATGGACTTTAAAAATAAGGATACAAGAATGATTAGAGGAGCCAAAGCTGGGGAAAATCTCAAAGTTTTTTTTAGCATTCCTGCAAGAAAATCTTCACCAAAATAACGGAGGGAAATTACTGTTTGGGGGCATTTTTCTGCATCCCTGTCATAGGACTAGCATTCAGTGATTTTAAGAACAATGGGTTTCCTTTTCCCAGATTTTTTCCAACTTTATGGCTACTCCACCAAAGCAGGATTTTGGTGTCAAACCAAAATGCAGAAGCCTGCAAAAATATTCTGGCACCACTGTGGGATCAATAATCGAGGAAAGGGTCTCTTTTTGTGCAAAAATGCAGTCCATTAACTAATAAATTTATTATGAAAGTAGAACTCACTTCGGTTTATATGACCGTCTTGACTTCATAGTTTGGGAGTAATAAACTGAACGTTAACATACGACATTGTGGAATCAGCGATACTTTTAGGGTAAATTTGAAATCTCATGAGTATCTCAATCATACAGTACATGAATAAACAATTTAAATTTTAAAACAATATAGAAACTAATTTTCTGCATGCTTGAGCAAAATTTTGAGAAAAGCTCAGCTCCATTTTTTATTGTTGCCAACCATAAAAATCTCTTCTAGGAATAACTGGCTGTTCCTCAATTATTAATTTTTTAATCATTTTGGTTTCTAATGTCACCTTTCAACACGTTTTAAAATATTTATACAGATAAATATGAAAGTACTGTACCTCATTTTATTTCACACCTTTCAAAAACCGATATTCTCTTCAGTTTCTAAATCTACATTGAATGATGGGGAGTTCTTTGTGACACCCTGTATTTGAGCCAAGGATGTGAATAACTCACTGAAGGGGGACAAACTGCGTCGTAGCGAAAGGGGATACAATATTCGATTTTAAGTGGTTATATTAACGTATACTGCTGTATACGTACAGCATTCGGAAATTCTCCAAGTCGTCAGCTTACGTAGGCTAAATTCATAAATTTTTCATTTTTAATAATATTTAAGAACTTTGTAAAAAAA